CAGCCCACCCCAAGACCACCCGGATTTCAAGCATTTTAGGGTTTAGTTCTAAAGTCTTCTAGGCATCCCAGCGGGGGCTTGGGCACCTCGACGGCGGTCGTTATCTTCAACGGGGCCCGGGCAGAATCGAAGGAAGAATCGCAAAAGATGGCCAGCTCGCATGGGTTCCTACATGTATAGGAGGAGAACTTGCAAAATAAACGGCTGCGGGATGAAACGCGGCGAGAATGTGCCCTCGTGACAGCTCTGAGCACTTGCGGCGCAGGTACATGATGACTCGTCGATGTCGTGTTACAAGCTGTATGAGCTACATAAAGCTACGCCGTGTACGACACATGCAACTCCCGTTCTTTTGAACGCAAACGGCGGCAGCGCAACTTCGATGTGACATCATGGGCCCAGGGCAAGGACTGTGCCAGAACCTCCCGCCGTCTGCGGCCCTACAGCAGCCGGTACTTTCACTTTGAGAATGCAGCGGTCTGATTACCTGTACATGTTGCGGTTATACTCACATTGCTGGGAGGAAGTGGCGGCGCGTCACGATGCCACCGAGGAGGTAGTCGGTGTCTCGCTGCACACGACTCAGTGCCACGTATCCGGCCGCCCGCATGAAGGGGATGTCCAGCCACACGGTGATATGCTCCAGCTCGGCCCCCTGCAACTTATGCACCGTGCTGGCATACCCTGGACGGACCGGGTAAGCAGTGACGTAGCCACAGCCCTCCACCCAGTCCGTAATGGGGTACACAGCCAAGTTGCGACCTGTCTTGGTGAGCACATGGAGGCAGCGAGAGTTCGGGTCGTAGCTCTTGACAGTGGCCTCCATGCCGTTGACGAAGTCCGAGGACTTGTCCACGTTGCGGGTCAGATGCACGCGGAGGTTCTTGTAGACTTTCATGGTCAAGGGCTTCGGTGGCCGGCCTGCGATGACATTGTTCTTCTCGTCGTAGTTGTCCGCATTTCGCTGGGTCGTGAAGAGCACCCAGATGGAGAGGTCGTTGACGTGGGCGGCCCTTCTCTTCGTACAAGTGGCCACCGTGGTGTGGGGTACCTTGCGATAGAGCTGCTGTATGTCCCAAGCCGTCGGCTTCCGATGACCGGACCAGGCCTTGTGGCGCAGGCAGATGCGCTTCAGAAGCTCCTTCGTGGGCATCGCGGTCCGCAGAGCGACCAGCTTCTGGCGCAAGGTCTCGTCCTTGCAGCGCCACATGTCGTGGAGCTCGATCTGATGCACCATGTGCCACTTCGGGCTGTCCGTGGCTTTGGTGGGCTGCACGCCTGGGAGCTGCCAGAAGTCGCCTGCGAAAACGAGGACAGGTACCCGGTCTGCAGCCTCCCACATCTGGATGATGCGCTCGAAGTCCTTCTGGGACAGCTGGGAGATCTCGTCGACCGCGATCATGTCGTACTGCGTCAGGCAGTCCATTACTTCCACCGAATCCTTGTAGAGGAAGAAGGCGCCGGCACAGGTGTCCACATCGGCTTCGGGGTGCTTGCTCCTGACCCT